GCCCGCCGCCCTTCTGGCCGGGGGGAAGCCCTACAAGTGCTCCGAGTGCGACAAGACCTTCTCGCACAAGTCCCGCCTCGTCGAGCACCACCGCTCGCACACGGGCGAGAAGCCGTACGGCTGCGGCCAGTGCGGCAAGGCCTTCTCCCGCAAGTCGTGCCTCCTCATCCACCACCGCATCCACACCGGCGAGAAGCCGTTCGGCTGCGGCGAGTGCGGCAAGGCCTTCTTCCAGAAGTCGCACCTCATCCTGCACCGGCGGACCCACACGGGCGAGAGGCCCTACGAGTGCGGCGAGTGCGGGAAGGCCTTCTCGCAGAACTCCTGCCTCATCATCCACAGGAGGACCCACATGGGCAAGAAGCCGTACGAGTGCTCCGAGTGCGGCAAGACCTTCTCCCAGAAGGCCAACCTCATCCGCCACCACAGGATCCACACCCGGGAGAAACTGCACGGCTGACGGGCACAGCCGCCGTGGGCCTCCCTCCCGCGTCCCCGCGCGTCTGGGAACGCGAGGACAAACCTCCGCGTGTCCCCCGCGCGCACCACCCTTCAGTGGGAAATCCGGTGCCCCCGCGGGAAGAGAGCGCGACCGAGGGGAAGCCCCTCCCTCGACCGTAGCGAGGGGAGGGTGAGGACACTCTAGAGCCACCTGTTTGTACAAGAGCCTGCCTCATGACAGAGGGGATCGCTGTGAATTCACTCTGGTCGTTGAGTTTTCGAGTCTGTAAATAAATGTAATCATTTAAGACAACAGCTGTGAGCAACATGGGAACAGTCCCTGGGACGGGGGCATTTAGGGGTTGTGTTCCCAACGATGCTGCATAGAAGGAATTTTATTTATTTGTCAACCGCAGTGGTAATCCAACAGAATTGTGAGCCTGGAGGCACAGCCACCAGACTGTAGAGAATGACCTCTATGGAGACCCCGCACTAAATCCTACCCTTTGGTCGCTGTAGGGTATGTTAAACCAGGAGTCCGTGCACCGTACCACTTACCATTTGTCCCTTTGTTTGCTGGCAACTGTTACAGAGCCCCCAACCCCCGCCACCCTCAGATCTGGAAACTGGCGCTTTCGTGACCTCTCCTCCTAGCTCTCAACCAGTTCCTAAGTAGGTTTCATGTTAAATGTGTCAAGTTAGGACTCCCTTTTCTGGCAACATGACAGACTGTGTAAAGTGAAAGCCCTTCCACTGTGAATGGCCAGAAATGATGACCAATGATAGATTACGTGCTTTTACATACATAATTCAGCTGGCAACCGGGGAAGTTTCCAGGCGCCAGCGAGAGACGCCGAGCTGAGGGCCAAAAATTAAGTTCGAGAGCCGACCGTGGGTTTAACTTGGTTGACCCAGAAGCCTGGGTTGTTGAAGACTGAAGGAGGGTGCGAAGCAAGGCCTTGGGCACATGAGGCAGAGAGCTGGTAATGAAGTAACTCACAAATTCAGAAATTTCAGAAGCCTGGACATACAGGGAAGGGGTGGACTGGCGAAGAATCTCATTGGCACAGGGAGCTTGTCCGTATGTCTGTGGGCTCCGATGGGGGAGGATTTGCCCTGACCAGCATCCCACGTGAGACAGAATTTGCAATTTGCCCTATTGCTGTCCCAGTTCAAAAACCGAACCGTTAATATAGAAAATTTGTCCTGGCCTTTGAGACAAATTATGGAAGCAAACAAAACATGTTGTGGAGGAAGGCGCCCTCAACCCATGTTTGCCAGGATTCTGACATACAAACCCAAGATGAGTTCATAATCCCAAACTACAGAACACAAGGAACCAACCCACAGTGAAAGGCAACAGGCAACTTGAACTAAATACGAACGTCCCGGATTTTAAGGGTCATAGAAACCTACAAAACTCCATGAGCTCTATTGTATGGAAACCAATTTGACAGATTTCATATGAAAAAACAGCTGTCTTCACAAACCATTAAAAACGAAAACACCACATGAAAGCGAGGCACAAAGAGCAAGCACTGGCTTCTTTCGAAAGGGGACCACCCTGAGTGTCTAGAGTTGACAGATACAGGCACTGAAATGTGAAGCTACACCAAAATAATGAGCCAACAACCCAGCCGGTGCTAACTCGGCTGCCGAGAAGGCGAGCAGAAAGTAGAGCAAAGCAGATTCTTAGGATTCAGTCTACAGAGAGGCGGGAAATGTACATGAAAGGGTGAGACATCTGGATGAAAATAAGAGCCAATAGGAGTTCCTAAAAGACAAAATAGTGGAAGAAAAGGACATTCCAAGAGAAAAAGCGGCTCAGATTTGACAAGACCGGAGATCACCGATTCGGGCAGCACAGTGGACAGGTAGGAAATTCGCGTCTTAGAGCTGGCTAAGCTGTTGCGGGGTGTCCCTGCTCCACACCCGGTTGGTGTGGCCGAGGGATCTGCAGGGACAGGACACTGACACCCGCCTAGATTGCAGCCGTGGAGCCACAAGCGACTGCGAGGGCCCATCATGGCTTCTCCCGCGTCCTTGCGAGCCGCCGTCTCCCCTGCTTGCCTGTCTGCCTTACGCTCTCCTCGGCTGAGACCCTGTGGAGGTTACCTAACCCCCTCGTTGCTGCTTTGAATTAACCAGTGTGGTCCCAGCCCACCATCTCTATTATAAAGTCACGTGCCCCGGGTTCAATCTCTGTCTGCCTTCTACCTCGACACCCCATGTGGCCCCTCGAGGCCTGCTGTGTACTTCCCGCGGGTCCTGCAAATAATAAACTCCGCCATTTCAGTTTCTCTCCTGGCCTGTTGTCGCACCCGCTGACCACCGGCACCTGTGGTCCTCTTAGCAAACGTTAGTTTAGCAGAGTCCTGACGGTCAGCCGCAGGATCAGGGCGGTAGAGTCGTGCTGGCAGCCGGCTGCCGGGGAGCCTTGGAGCTGCGAAGGGCAGGCTAACCGGCTCTCCCCGGTGGGCAGTTAGTTGATGGGCGCAGCTTTGACCTTGGCCACTGCCCGTCCCAAAGTGCAAGCTGGGGAAGAAGCGACCCGAGTCCTCCAGGGCCTCGGGGCATCGCCCTGGGAGCTGGTTTGCAGTGCACCTGTTCACGCCCCAAGGAGGATGCCTGTCCCCGCTTCCCCACCTGGCCGTGGCTCTCAGGTCCTGTTGCATTGGTTAACGGCCAGGACACGGGTGGCCACCCCGCTCAAGTGCAGGCTATGATAGGGGGACAGAGAGACACCCCGTCCCTGACGGCTGTGCTTGCGGGTGGCACGGGGAGGCGGACTCCTAGTCCCGTCTGGTGACAAACGGCACCCTCACTTGGGGAAGGCACGGCTCCCGGCAAAGGTCGGTGTGGCCGGGGCCTGCGGTACCTCTGTGGCTGCACACCTTTCTGCTGTCACACGACCCTGTGGGATATTACGGGTCCCACCCCTGGCACATGGTGGCACAGGATCTAGTGGTCTGATGCAAATGGTCCGAGCGCCACCTATAAGGCCGGAGGAAGTTAGCAAGTTCATCGCTAAAGTGAAAGCCCACAGAAGTGGCCACGGGCCGGTCAGCCTGCAGAGCAGTAACCTGCCAGAGCGCTGGGTCCGGCCCTCGAGGGCTAGGGGTCAGCCCGTGACCTGCCACCGTCACTGTTTTGGAGAGGCCGGGCAGGACACCCCCGAGATGGACCTGGCCCTGGGGGACAGCCACTGCAGATCTTTCCAGTAACAATCTTTAAGGTCAGATCAGTGGCAGATAATAGAGCATCTGAAACTGCCAACTATGGCGCGTTTGGAAGCTGCCAAGAGAGTAAATCTTCAAAGTTCTCATCACAAGGAAGAAAATGCAACCGGGAGTTGCTGATGCTAACTAAAAGGGGTGATCATTTTACAACATACGCATCTATCAAATCGTTGTGTTGTGCACCTGCAACTAACGTTAGCTGCCGATTACACCTCAATAAATAAATGAAAAAAAGAAACCCAAACTCAGTTTCACGCATCTCAAGATTCACAATATTCTCAAAGACTTTGTGCAGCAGGAGGGATTAGGAGGGGCGGCCGGCTGAGAAGCTGTTCACACGGGCTCTGAGCTGCTGCCCACCCCACACGTGGGGCAGAGGCCCGCGGCACATGACCTTTCACCGGGACCCGGGGACCGGCAGCAGACGCAGGTGCCTTGAGGGACAGGTAACCACCTCAGGCTCCCGATCAACCACAAGCGATTTTGCCCGAGGGAGGCCCGGCATCTAATCAGATGGTTGTGGTTCCCACTTGATCCGCGCAGCCTGAGTAACAGGATGGCTGGCGGACCCCCGGGGCCTAACCCCAGCTCCAGAGGGGTACTGGAGCAGAACCAACCCGGCGCAGGACCACAGGTGGCTGAGCACCGGGTGTCGGCAGACCCCGCCTGCGGGGCGCCTGGGTGGCTCCGTTGCTTAAACGTCCGACTGTTAATTTCAGCTCAGGTCATGACCTCACGGTTCGTGGGGTGGAGCCTTGCGTCGAGCTCTGTGCTGGTGGGGTGGAACCTGCTTGGGATTCTCGCTCTTTCTCCCTCTCAAAATAAATAATTAACTTACATCAAAATAAACTTAAAAAAAGAAAAGCCATCTGCAAGCATCTCTGAGGATCCAGGGCCTTTTCCCTGCCCAATCAGGACGGTCAAGTTTTCCGGACGCAGCTAGTGTGCTCAGTTACAAGCCTGCTGCTCCCGAGGCTACTTGCGTTGGTTAACTGGGCCCAAGAATTGCCAGCTGAGGTTTACAGCCAGCTCTGACAGACCCCAGACCAGACCCCAGAAGACGCGGTCCTACCGCTTTCTGCCCTTGGACTCCAGAGCTATGCCCCTGGGCCTATAGCCCTTAAGCGAGACGCCCACACAGCCCAGAGCTTGTCTATGGTTTATTCCTCCATCCGGTATTTACTAAGAACTGCCAAGTTCATAAGGTCTGAGACCTGGCTTTAAAGAGCTCACAGTATAATTGAGTGGTAAGTGAAGGAGATGTTTAAATTATATTTTAGACTGCCAGTTTATTTTTAATTTTTTTTTTTTTTTAATTAGAGAGGGTATGAGCAGGGGAGAGGCAGAGAGAGAGATCCCAAGCAGGCTCCTTGCTGTCCGTGAAGAGCCTTGACTTGGGGCTCGAACTCACAAACCGGGAGATCACGACCTGAGGCGAAGTCAAGAGTTGGACACTCAACTGACTGACCTGCCCAGGCGCCCCTAGAGTGACAGCAGTTGTGATTGAGGGGGGGACGGAGAGGGGGGCTGTCTTAGCGTGCTGCACAGACTAGGGGGCTTCTGAACAACGGACATTGCTCACCAGACCAGAGGCCGGGAACTCCCAAGATCGAGGTGCTGGCAGATTTCGTGTCTGTTGAGCACCCACCTCTTGTTTGCAAACAGCCGCTTCCTCGCCGTGGCCTCACCCGGTGGAAGGGGAGAGGGAACGTTCTGGAGCCTCCTTTATAAAGGCACTAATCCTGTTAACAAGGGCTCCACCCTCATCACCTAATTACCT